ACCGTTAATCCTTTTTCATAGTAAATGTTTCATCTTCTTTCATCATCTTTTTTTTCCTTTCTTGATCTATTTGTCTCTACCACTGTCACTCATTGTTTCTGTCTGCTCGATCAGTTTTCTTCTCTTTTTCCTTTCTTTCTCTTTATCTCTCTCCCCCTCCCTACCACTCTATTTAGCTGTCTTGATCTATTTAACTCTATCACTGTCACTCATTATGTCTGTCTGCTCGATCAATTTTCATCTCTTTATCTTTCCTTCCTTCTCTCTCACTCTCTCTCTCTCTCTCTCGCTCTTTCTCTATCTTGCTAATACTTTCTCCCTCATTTCTTAGTTTCTCTTTCACCCTCTCTCCCATTCCCCTATATTTCTGCTTTTTTTTCTTGTATCGTTGTTAAATTGATATCTACAAAATTCCAGGATTTTTTCATGTTACCTTCATTCAGAATGTTTGTATTTGCCCCACCACCAAAAAAATCCTTGCATTATTTTTTTTTCTCCTAACACGCACATAAAAGTCCGTAATTGTCTATATAATTGGCGTTTACTGGAATGAAGTGCAAGCTGCAATAGCTTTGTCCTAGAAATATGTAAATATATAATAGCGGTGAAGGCATCACGAAGGCGAATTGCAACAATTTTACGAACGAAAACGGCCTTGAGAAGCCCAACTTCCACCTCGTCCATTCGCTCTTTCAGTCCTATTTTCTTAGATGTCCATTACTTGGTCAAGATGTGAAAATTATCTGACTGAATCTTACGTTCTGAGAAAAACAGTTCGTTGTACGTGATTCCTCCCATGATGATGTCAGCCATTTAAAGTTTATTCAGTCAGTCTGTCAAGTTTTTCTTTTAAGGAGAATTGTCGGCTTTCTACAGCTACAGCTTATAAATGACTTCGATTCACATATCAAACTGGCGTTCGGATTATATTTTTGCCAATATAGGCATAAATAAATTTTGCCTCGTTGAAATGTAAATCGTTGTTAGCAAACAGGAAGGTGAGTTGGCTTTTCTTAGATGCCCCAGTTTCAAAATCCACGTGTGCCGTTTGTTTCCTTTCTCGGTCCTAATCTTTATGCTGTGCAAATTTAATGATGAATTTTGCATGGGATTGTTACAAGTTATCCACGCGATGACCTCCTTAGCCCCTCGACAAGATTGTAAAATTTAAAACATATTTATTAACTAAATTCATATTAGAATTTGTTTAATAACAATTCTTTATACACGGTTACAAAAGTCTTTGAGCATTAGTTAATTGGTGATTTACCAAGTTTCCATTTTAATCCTTATTCTATTCTGATGTAAACCGTGCATACATCATTGTTTACTTTGACTAATTCTTTATTCTGACTCTGCCTTGCACTCCATTTTATAAATATCACCAAAAAATGTCAGAAACCATTGTCATTCGTGGTCTACTAAGGCACTACTGGAAAAAAGGACTAACCGGCGACACACTAGACGGAATGCAACGGAAATTTCCGCTGCACAAACTTACATTCAAAACACACAGCTAGCGAAAGACTGAGCGTAAATTTCCGTCGAAATGTCTCCGTCGAGGTCCGTTGGTATACCATCGTCCATCAATGTTCCCCTGGGTTCCGTCTAAACAGATCAAAACAGTTCAAAGTAAAGGGGGTGCGCCACACTGACGGCGGACAAGCACGGAAGAGGCAGGCAACAGGACAGGCAAACTACAAGTGAAGCTCATCTAGAATGGACGTGGACCAACTTATCGTGGAAGTTCAGAACAGGCCCTGTCTGTGGAATTTTAAAGACGCTCGTCAAATCAAGCTACTGTCATCCCATAGTATTGGAAGACCTTGACAGGATAGCGTCGAAGTTCCCCATGCAGACAGTAGAATTGACCAAGTGCTACCCTTTTCATGTTCACTGGATGAATCCAATGTTCTCTCTTTCTCTTCTGCTTCTCCATTGCATTGTAAATACACAAAACGAAAAGTGGTTTCATTGTACTGTACACGATCAACTGAGTCATGCTATTAACTAAATATCCATACGCTCCTGCTCATCGTTCACGTTGCCAAAGAAAAATGTTCAAAAATGAAGCAAGTTCTCTTGCCCAACCCTCCTTACATCCACTAGTTTTCGTGGTCCGCTTGACCATTAATATCTTTCAATTAATTAAGGTTTTTAGTTGAGATAAAAACGTCAGTGTCACAACGGGATTCGAACCCACGACCTTCGGCTAGATACGCTACTCTACCACTTGACCTATCGTGACTTCGATCCACTCGGACACTAACTTCCCATCTCAACCCTTTTTTTAATTTTCCTTCCTTTTTGCCATTTTTCAAATGTCATGTAATCTATTTGATTCTCGGCGACAAATGAAATGGCCACGGAGAGTTTTAGTGAAGATATACTTCATTTTAACTTATTAACTTCACTAGTTTTCGTGGTCCGCTTGACCAATTAATATCTTTCAATTAATTACGATTTTTAGTTGAGATAAAAAAGTCCTTACATCCCTGACGTCGCACCGTCTGACTATCGTCTTTTCCAGTCAATGGCGTATTTATTAAAAGGCCGGAACTTCGAAAACTACGAGGATGTCATATTAGGATGTTCTTTTTCCTCGAAAACAAATAACTGTTATCACCACCAAATTCAACTTCTGGCAGAAAAATGGGTTAAAGTAGTTGATAACGTTGGCCTATATTTTGAGGAATAATGTTCATGTTTACATTTTATACTGAAATAAAAATAAAAATTTATGCACAAAAACTTTTGTAACGACCTAGTTAAGTTATTGCTCGTTTGTCAGAATGTCTGCTTATTACAAACTAACTCCGATAACCATGAAATGCTGTTCCTCACTCAATGCACCTAGAATCAAGGAAAAGGTGGCATGCACGAATGAATTAGAATGGAATTGTTTTCCTCAATGACAACGCAAGGTCTCTTGTTTGGTCAGTGATGCGGTGAATATCGCTGCACTTGAGCTGGGAGTGAATCTTACCAGCCAATTTAATGATCTATTAAGTTCTGTAGTGTGATAAATCAATATTTGTTAAATTATTTCTTGACCTATCCAATAATAATTTGTACATTAAGATATATTATTGTGTATATTATTTTTTAATGCTTTGAATATGTAGCTGTTCGTACACTAACAATAGAAAAATTTTCTGTTTCTTCTCTTTCACACCCTCACACATTTTCTCTCTAATTTTCTCTTTCTATCTCTCGCGCGTGTGCCCAGTCTCCTCCACTCGTTTTCCATCTCGCAATATCCCACTCATTTGTCCTCTGTTATTCTCAATTTGCCTTTTACATATGCAATCCTTCTACCCCCTCTCTATCTATCTATATTCTGGAAACATTTCGTATTCTTATTCATAAACTCACAAACTTCTTAATTTGATGTCCTTTAACAGACCCACCAGCCTTCTGCGATGTACAAAATCCTCGAAAGATTCATTTTAAAACGTTTAATACCCATCTTAGATTCGCAAAAACATTCCTTCTCATGCAACTTGGTGTGGCAAGACATCAGACTGATACAAGGCGACCCACAAGGGAGCATTCCTGGCCCCACCTTGTTTATCATTTGTACTGATATTTTTCCTACACATCCCAATGCCGTCGATACAACCTCGATGATGGTTGTGGAATCCTCACAATTAAGAGACAATTTATCAGAAGTCTTGAACAACTACAAAACTTTTAGCACTGAATTATGACCGTCAAAACTGAACTAACACTATACGAAACATAACTGACTACTTTTGATAAAACGAGTTAAACTATGGGGTTTCACCAAGACATCTTATATCCAACGTAACTTCCAGCGATCTTCCAATCAAAAGTTCCTAAAACAAATTGTCAAAGCTTCATACTACGCCACTACACTCATTCACAAAATCTTTCAACGTTTTTTCCGTTGAACTTATTCCGCTTCCAACAGCCCTCGATTCATCATAACCACTGCCCAAGCCTCTTCTACACTTTCCCATCCCGACAACCCACCACGTATGGCATGGCATGGAATGTAAGACTTGTAGGAAAGATTGTACGACTTGTAGGAAGGAGGACAAGACATACGTAGAGGAACTCTGTGCTTCCACCAAGCCATGAGATATCCATCACACAGAATCCTTCCAATCATTCCTCAGAACAATTGTCAAAGCTTATTACTACGTGATTTAGACTCCTTATCCTCAACCATTTTTTCCTCTTGTCAATCAACTGATCCGATCATGTTTCCTAAAGTATAAAACCAAACTTTCGACCTACTCTAATTATTCTGCTTATAAACCGGATCCAAACTACCAATCCTTAATCCGAAGAAAAATCCATGATACTCCATTTTATGTGTCCGACGAAAGTGCCCAAATAAATGGTGCCTAAATATTACTTATGGTCAAGCTTTATCTACACTTTTCTATCCTGGCACTCGCCACATCGCCTTAAACGATAGACTCGAGACCTCGCTCGTTAACCCTGATATTGAGAACCTGGTTTTTATTAATCTGTGGTCCCCGGGTGCAGTGAATCTACGCACGAATCCAATTATTTTATGTGTAACCTCAAGATTATATTGTTATGTTACCTTAGGTTTTTAATAACCCGTTGTTTACATAGTTTCTTTAGCAGCGATGTCCCATTTTCTTGCGTACTGATTATTTCCTTTAATATTTATGTTTTTTGATAATTCCTGATGTTTGATTGGGATTGTCGTTGTTTTATTTGGTTTTTGGAAAGCTGACAAGTCGCGGACTTAAACGTCAATAAACTACAGCTTTCTGTGACACATTATAGATCAAAATTGACGTTCGGTGAGGTCAGATAGTGAGGATAGAGTTCGAATCGATCTCCCACACCCTACTAATTCTCTCGCAACGTTCGCAAGGGGGCATGAGCACGACCAGGGCGCATGTTTATGTTTTCCCACCTATGTTTCATCCCAGCCCCACCATTTTCACCATTTCCTTGGCCCCCACCCAAACCAGTCAGCTGATCTCAGTCGCCAGTCCCCAGCTCACCAAGCCAATTCTGTTCAGTAAACAAAGAAGCTCTTGACGGTTCACTTCGTGTTATTAACTAATTGTATAAATATAAAATATTTTATATATATTGTTAATTATTATAACATAGGACGTATATTTAAATTCAATTGTGCTGTGGTGTTTTATAAGTGAGCTAAAGACTGAAATTTTAATTAACACGAGAGAAACGAGAAGCAAGAAAACACGATTTTTACATAACTAAAAAAAGCCAAAAAATATATACATACTAAGGAAGGCTTAAGGTAAATATTTTGCTTTATTTTATTTTTTCAATAAATAATAACAAGTTTAAACGATCCCTTCGGATTTTTCGAGGTTCCTTTGCCTAAACCCGAAACAAAAAGCCCAACATCATCAATAATGAAACAATAACATTTTACACCCTAACTTTTTCCAATTTATTTATATTGAATTATTTTCCATCTCATTGAAAATTCAACTCGTCAAAAAAAAAGTTATACATTTAATAGAAATTGAGATGTTGTGTTTCAACCGGTTGTATGGAGTGTATAAAAGCATACTCCGACAGAAGGGCCTTGCTGAATATTGATCTTCCTACCCCTGTTTTCCGTTATTTTCATGTTGAGGAACTGTAGATCGATGCTGTAAGTTCGAACTTTCAGCACATCGAGGGGCCAAAAATCGATTTCCTGTTTTTAAAGGCCCAGGTGTATTTTCGAAACGGTTTTTGTTTTGCACCTGGGTCGCCAAGAGGCATAAACGTCATCGTGGCAGTAGGGGGTGTCCCGAAAAAAACCCTTGTTACTTTTTAATTTTAAAACATTTTTTTCCAAATTATATACCAACTTTACAAATTTAAAAAAAAAATCAGCCAAAGTTACACCTTTTTGACATCTGCCTACTGAAGATGGCGTAAAACCTAAGTGTGTCCGACCAAGGACAAACAACGAGAATAGTCAAAGGCCATCACTAATGATCATTACTTTTGTTTATAAAATTCATGAAACATCACGGTTGTCTTATTTCTAATTTTAAAATTTTAAAACGGTTTAAAACCTGTATTCGAAGCTCTTGATATCAAGTATGCCATGGTGATGTCACAGTTCATTTCTATGTATGTCGGTCTTATAGAAAATTTTTCCCTGACGAATTTTTTTCCTGCCTCCAAAACAAAACAAGACGTTTAACAGAGAAAGTGAATGTATTAAAAAATATTAAAATGGAATAATTTTAAACTGGGCACTGTCCAAAGCAGTAAATATTCTATTATTCGGCAAATTTCTAATACAGGGTTAAATTTATTTACTACTAAATCTATCTAGTTTTTTCAAATCGAACTTAGTTTTGATGTTGAATGTTGAGTGGCTTTTCTCGATACTTTTTCTAGTGGTCTGGCTTTTTTTGATCCTGCACCACATTAAGATAAGTTACTGTTGTATCAACCTGTTGGTGACTGATGGTAACTAAACGATATGCTGGGGAATAGTTGGAAAATTGTACTCGCATGTAAGAAATCATGTCCTACGAGTATGATTTTTACGCCAGAAGTGTCATAGCAAATCGGACGAACGTCCCTATGCGCCTGCCTGGGAGGGAGCTGCCCTTGGAAGGCAGATTGTCATGAAAACATGTCCAAGCTGAGCTGGAAACCTTCGTGTCATACCTCTCTCTTTCTGCAGGGAGGGGATGCACGCAGGGGAGCAGTGCCCTTCGTGTCAAGGTTCAATAACCCTCTCAGCGCCCTTTAGATTTCAACCCTTGGCCACGATCGAATTTAGAACGTTACATTAATCGAGTGGGCTTCGGGGATCTGATTGATTGGAATTCTGAAAAAAAGAAAATTAATAAAACTCGTAAATTTGTGTTCCAATTCTACGAATCAAAATATATCCACCACTGCGGGATATAGCTTATCTTTTCAAGCCTGACTAACCTGGAAGACGACTTATCTTTTGTTTGCGCATGCAAACTATAGGAAATATCACCAAAAACAGGTCTTTTGTAACTTTCTGACCTCTTCTAAAGTATAGCCCCTTATTTATGTACAATCCTTTCGGTTTGAGATCAAAGGCGCGCTGGATAAATAGAAAACGCAGTGCTTACATTTCCAGATTTAAAAGTTGATCAAACTCAGTTTACCCCAACGATATTCCTACCCCATGACTAACCTCGTACACAAACTTAGAGTTATATGACATGGAGACACACGAAGGTCAACAGATGTAAAGTAACATTACAAAACGAAAAAATACAGCACTGTTTGCACTATGTTGTCCTAAAGGCTAAACTTTTCCAGGAAAAAATGAACAACCTATATTGCATACAGTCCTCGGTCAATGAATGGAACCAACATCCACCTACAAAACAACCCTTACGTCCTAGAACTTCAAGACATACTTTTTTTTTTCTTTTTAACACATTTTTTTGTTGTATATTTGATATATATTTGAAAATATATTTTTCTAATGTAGAGAACCAAGGAGAACCTCGTATTTCAGACCAGCGTACAAATTATCAGAGGGATTATTCCGAACAAAAACACCAGAACACAAAAACAGGCGTAAACAAGAGTATTTTTTGTTTATCACATTTCAGTTAAAAGGTAGAAAAATATCCAGAAATTCGAAAACAATAGCTTTTACGATACACTGTACGTATGGAAAATTTCAAAACTTGGCCAAACATAACACTTATGTTTTTAAACCTTCAGATTACCATAGGTCCTCTATCTCATTTATTTTAATCTTAGAGATAATTCTATCGTTGTTCTACCCTGCGGACCTGCTACGACAATTTTACCGTTTTGCATAAATTGACTTAAGCCCGATATAAAACATGGATAACAAAGAAAACATATTATTAGGGAGTGCGAGGCTCTCGAGGGGGGGACCGTTTTATAAAAGTGATTTGCGGTTTAATGCGCGCTTTGCCCGAGGAAACGAGAGGTGGGTGACCCGCGTAACAGTAGTGCAGTGATGGGTTGTCCATAACGTTTAATTCTCGGTTCATAGCACTCTGCGTCGAGTCTTTTTCTTTGTTCGACCTGTGAGGCTGTGGTCCGTTTCGCGTTTTATATTCCGTCTCGTGTACCCTGACTTGGGGTAAACAACACGAATTCCCTTCTAACCACCCAGTATGGCCTCATTCGCACTTCTTTCTTAACTGGCAGAACTATCACGGTGATGAAAGAAACTCGTCCCTTCCAGCCATTGTTTCAAGCTTATTGTAATTTCTGCAAAGACGCTTTCACAACAAACCTTTGAACTCTTGAAAACAATACAATAGGTGTCGATTTCTCTGCTACCAATTAATTGCACTTCAGTAATAAAACCATAAACAATAGACAACGGACTGAGTAGAAAACGAGATTAACATGTTCCGTCTGATTTATTATAAAACAATAGATAAGGCTCAAAAGCAGGCCTATCAGTATAACATTCTCACTGTATAATCGCGTGATATTTTATTAGCTATCACGAACCGTTTTTCTTTTGTTGTAAGTTCTGTACAGACATGAGCAAGGGATTACGTCTTTGTCCGTAGCGGTGACTGTCTCATAAGAGTTTTTTTTATGTGTTATGCTCTGCGGTCATTGTGCCAGTAGAAACATGGTCGAATTCAACATATAGGAAAACCGAATAGAAATTACATGGAGTACCATTCAATACAGCACAGTAACAATATAAGTTGATGGGTGGGTTGTATTAATACATAAACCGGATTCTTTTACAAGAATGACCCGAGCTGAGCTTTCATAATACTAAATATAACCAAACAAGGAAAACTTTTGCCCCTCGTCATGACCACAGAACATTTTTCCTATTTGGATTCAGTGAGATTTTGAAGGTAACCCTTTGTAAAAATAAATTAATTAAAAAAAAAACTACAACAGCCTGGTATCCAAACTACCTAACACCACATACAATCATCATTAACCGTCAATAATACAAATTACTCTATAATATGTATCTGGACAAACATGATCTCAGGCTAGTACATCAAAATTAACCAAATCCTTAAAAAAATGACAATTCATATACATCATTCAATAAAATAAAAAAATCACGGCGCTTCAAACGAAAAGGAACGGACGTAATAACTGGCCTGTTCGAACACATGGGCTCTTATGTGAGGCCATAAGAGGATCACTCTTACAAAGAAACCGCTTTAGAAGTGATCCGGGATCTGATTCTACAATTTAAATTAAAAGGGACATTTGAACTAAGTTAATTAATAAAAATCACGCATCAAAAACACAACAAGCCAAAAGCCAACACCGATATAAAAAAATCTTTCCAAAGGACAGCTGGTGATTATTACTGATTATCCGATGACATATATTTTTATAAACCTTTTTCTACCTCATTTGCTTAATATCCGTAAGAACACCATTTCTAAAAATGATTTAGTCTTTTATTTTTGGTTCACCAGTTGGATTTTGTTTGCGGTTCGACCCTGTTTGCCAAATGGCGAAATGTTATCGGCAAATAGAGCGAGATGAATATATAGATCGATGTACGGACGTCAGAAAAGTAAACTCTGAATCACTTAGTCTGACGCAACTATGCAATATTTTCTAGGAAGTCAATGTCAATATCGATTTTTCTATTCGTCAGAAAACCGCAAGGCTAGACAAATCCGTGACTACATGCAAAGCGAGAACAGACGGACCATGATCGATATACGGACGTCAGAAAAGTAGACTAAATCTCTTAGTGTGACGCACTATGCAATATTTTCTAGGAAGTTAATGTCAATATCGATTTTTCTATTCGTCAGAAAACCGCAAGGCTAGGCAATCCGTGACTATACAGCGAGAACAGGCGGACCTGAGCTGTTAGTTTTTACCTGATTTAACAATGAAACTTCAGACTTAATCATAAAAAATAAGCTGATTCCATGCACCGAAATATCAAATGGGCTTGAATCTGAGTTGGCATCAAAGGTTGAAATAAGCAAGTAAGAAGCCTCCTGACTTCAAACGTAAGTTGCGAATGCGGTATGGGAAAAGAGGTTGACGCAAGAAACAATCATATTGATTTTACACAAGGACGAATTTCATAAACGAAGGATTTCAGTGTTAGGATGTACCAGTATCAAGATGGAAAAAAAATTCACGTCGAATATGAAAAACCGTATTATTTATGCCATATACTTTATACATGCCACATTGATTATTTAAACTTTGATCGTTTCCGATCATAATATTCTACCTGTTTTTTATTGCTACGATTTTGAATTTTTGCTTTCCCTGCTTATAACCCATTGACAACAATGTTCA